GGAATTGAGTTTGGGGGTTATTGCCCAAAACGTTTAGGAATAAGGGGCCAAAAATAAGCATTTTTCTAGTTTCCAGACAATAACTTGTGTTCAAGTGTATGGATCTCTCTGAAATTGTACTGCAAGGTACCATACCACAAAGGGAAGGCTGGGATTGATTTTGGGTGTAATTGCCTCAAAATTTTAGGAATTAGGGGCCAAAAAGGGGCAAAAAAACAAGCATTTTTCTAGTTTCAGGACAATAACTTGTGTGTAAGTGTATGGATCTTTATGAAATTGTACTACAAAGTTCCATATCACAAAGGGAAAGCTGGGTTTGAGTTTGGGGGTAATTGCCCTAAACGTTTAGGAATTTGGGGCCAAAAAGGGGCAAAAAAACAAGCATTTTTCTAGTTTCCAGACAATAACTTGTGTTCAAGTGTATGGATCTCTATGAAATTGTACTGCAAGGTACCATACCACAAAGGGAAGGCTGGGATTGATTTTGGGGGTTATTGCCCAAAACGTTTAGGAATAAGGGGCCAAAAATAAGCATTTTTCTAGTTTCCAGACAATAACTTGTGTTCAAGTGTATGGATCTCTCTGAAATTGTACTGCAAGGTACCATACCACAAAGGGAAGGCTGGGATTGATTTTGGGTGTAATTGCCTCAAAATTTTAGGAATTAGGGGCCAAAAAGGGGCAAAAAAACAAGCATTTTTCTAGTTTCAGGACAATAACTTGTGTGTAAGTGTATGGATCTTTATGAAATTGTACTACAAGGTTGCATATCACAAAGGGAAAGCTGGGTTTGAGTTTGGGTGTAATTGCCCTAAACGTTTAGGAATTTGGGGGCCAAAAAGGGGCAAAAAAACAAGCATTTTTCTAGTTTCCAGACAATAACTTGTGTTCAAGTGTATGGATCTCTATGAAATTGTACTGCAAGGTACCATACCTCAAAGGGAAGGCTGGGATTGAGTTTGGGGGTGATGAATCATAAGGGGGTTCAAAAAATTTGGGGGGGGGATTTTTTTTTTTTCTTTTTTTTTCTTTTTTTCCTTTTTTTTTTCTTTTGAAATATTCCATTTTAAGTTGGTTATTTCTGATTTATATTTAAAAGCAAATAATAATGATATGGAAGGGGATACACACCAAACAGGATGTGTAAAGTTTTATATAATAAGTATTGTGCAATAGCAAGAAATTTTCAATTGCACAGTATTGCACAATAGCAAGAAATCTTCAATTGCACAGTATTGCGCAATAGCAAGAAATCTTCAATTGCACAGTATTGCGCATTAGCAAGAAATATCCAATAGCACAATATTGCGCAATAGCAAGAAATTGTCAATTGTACAGTATTGCGCAATAGCAAGAAATATTCAATTGCACAGTATTGTGCAAAAGAAGATACTTCTTATAAATTGCTTATTTCTTGATCAATTTCAATGGGGTTTTATTCTTGAATTCTTGGGGTTCTTTATAAATATGCTGAATTTAACCGTGTATTAAGTTTTTGGATTTTGGGCCCCGTTTTTAAATTGGTCCACATTGAGGTCCAAAGGGTCCAAAATTTAACTTTGTTTGATTTCATCAAAAATTGAATTATTGGGGTTCTTTGATATGCCGAATCTAACCGTGTATTTAGATTCTTAATTTTTGGTTCCGTTTTCAAATTGGTCTACATTAAGGTCCAAAGGGTCCAAAATTAAACTTAGTTTGATTTGAACAAAAATTGAATTTTTAGTGTTCTTTGATATGCTGAATCTAAACATGTATTTAGATTTTTGATTATGGGCCCAGTTTTCAAGTTGGTCCAAATCGGGGTCCAAAATTAAACTTTGTTTGATTTCAACAAAAATTGAATATATGGGGTTCTTTGATATGCTGAATCTAACCATGTATTTAGATTTTTGGGCCCTGTTATCAACTTTGTCCACATTGAGGTCAAAAGGGTCCAAAATTAAACTTTTTTTGATTTCATCAAAAATTGAATTCTTGCGGTTCTTTGATATGGTGAATCTAACCATGTATTTAGATTTTGGATATTGGACCATAATAGGTGAATGTCCAATTTAAAATTTTTAAGTTCTTAGACCACATTCATTCTGTGTCAGAAACCTATGCTGTGTCAAATATTTAATCACAATCCAAATTCAGAGCTGTATCAAGCTTGATAGTTGTGTCCATACTTGCCCCAACTGTTCAGGGTTCGACCTCTGCGGTCGTATCAAGCTGCGCCCTGCGGAGCATTTTATTCTAGTTTCCAGACAATAGCTTGTGTTCAAATGTATGGATCTCTCTGAAATTGTACTGCAAGGTACCATACCACAAAGGGAAGGCTGGGATTGAGTTTTGGGGTGATGAATCATAAGGGGGTTCAAAAAATTTGGGGGGGGGGGGATTTTTTTTTCCTTTTTTTTTCTTTAAAATTTTCCATTTTAAATTGGTTATTTCTGATTTATATATAAAAGCAAATAATAATGATATGGTTTGAATAGGTAAATTAAAAATTCTTTAGTTCTTAGACCACATTCATTCTGTGTCAGAAACCTGTGCTGTGTCAAATATTTAATCACAATCCAAATTCAGTGCTGTATCAAGCTTGAATGTTGTGTCCATACTTGCCCCAACTGTTCAGGGTTCGACCTCTGCAGTCGTATCAAGCTGTGCCCAGCGGAGCATTTTATTATTTTATGAATTTCTCACATATTATTAGTAATAGGATGATAATATTTGGTCTACCCAATCCTTGCATCTCTACTTGTCCTGGTTCATCTGACCTCAACCTCATTTCATGGATCAGTTATCAAGATTAAAGTTACATGATTAGGCCCGTTTCTGAGACACTATAATATAAGCAGAGTTGAACTGTATTTGGTGTATGGAATGATAGTAAGGTGTATATGTCAGTCATGCAAGTTTCATTGGACCTTGACCTCATTTTCATGGTTCATTGGTCAATGTTAAGTTTTTGTGTTTTGGTCTGTCATTTAGATACGTAACTATAACCAATAAGTCAACTATATTTGGTGTATGGAATGATTGTAAAGTGTACATGTCTGTCTGGTTGGTATTATCTAACCTTGACCTCATTTTCATTTCACTTGTACTTGTTCAAATAAAGTCTCCTGTTACTCCGCTTCCATATAGAGCAAACGGGAATGTGAATATTTCTTTTTGGGTGACAGTTCATTTTGGGGTCTTATTTTTGGTCAAAATTTAAAACCCTGTTGATTTCTTCGAAATAACAAAGATAGCTATTTGGAGTTAAAGAACTAAACCATAAAGTGCTAGATGTAATTTACAGGATAAAAACAAAATATGTGCACTGCTGGAAAATATAAAATTTATTTGTACTCAATACAAAACAGGAGAAAAGCTCGGCAAGCCTCGCTTTTCGTCCTGTTGCTAAAGCTCATGCAAATAGATTTCATATTTTCTGTGAATGTCCATACATATTGTATATGTATCATCTGACCTTCATGGTTCATTGGTAAATGTTAAGTTTACATTGTTTGGTTCTTATCTCAGATACTACATGTATATATATATGCAATAGGTTAACTATATTTGGTCTATGGAATGATTGTAAGTTGTACATGTCTGACTGTCAGGTATCATCTGACCTTAATCTCATTTTTATACGACCGCAAAAAAATTTTGTGGTCGTATATTGGTATGACATTGGCGTTGTCGTGGTCGTCCGGCGTCGTCGTCCGAAGACACATTGGTTTTCGCACTCTAACTTTAGTTTAAGTGAATGGATCTTTTTGAAATTTGACCATAAGTTAAATACCACAAAAGGAAGGTTGGGATTGATTTTGGGGGTTATGGTACCAACAGTTAAGGAATTAGTGGCCAAAAAGGGGCCAAAAATAAGCATTTTCTAGTTTCCAGACAATAACTGTGGAACGGTGTATGGATCTCTCTGAAATTATACTACAAGTTTCCATACCACAAAGGGATGGTTAGGATTTGCTTTGGGGGGTTATGGCTCAAACCGTTTAGGAATTAGGGGCAAAAAAGGGGGAAAAACAAGGTTGTCCTGGTTAATGGACAAATACTTTAGTACAAAACATAATTTAAAGCAGTGTAAGGGAGATAAATCAAATACATCATTGAAATTATCTCCCTTACACTGCTTTTAAATTATGTATAAAGTAATGGTTAGGTGGCAGAAACCAGTTATTTTACAATAAATCTTTAGAATTTCATGGATTTATGATTTTATTTTCTTGAAAATTCATTCAAGCTTATATACAAATAAAATGTATGGATTCAAGTAACTAAGATGTGTGCGTGCTTATGTGAATATATAGAAAACCTTTAAATTTGGGTGTCTGTCCAGCATGGATATTTTAAAATTTATAAATGCATTGCAAATAAGGCAAAAAATGTGATGCTCTGATACCAATCTAATCCTTACCTGCAGAATGCTGCTAAAAGCCGACAAGAATTTTAGGCAAAATTCAAGAGATAAATGATATTCAGTGAATTAGAGCCTTGTCCGAACCTATCCTTACCATCAAAATCTCAAGATATTTTTGTTTACATAAAACTGAAGTTTTTCCCCACTTTGATTGGATGCCGTCAAGTGAGGAGACCACAATTTTGACTTCTGATTGGACCCATTTGTGAAGGAAATCCCCAACCTGTGTATGCAACTACTTACTTGTGTAGTACAATAGCCTAGAATTTACATTCATTTATTTTTTCAGTCCACATGATGCAATTATATACCTCAATGCTTAACTATAACCAAATTTCTGCATGGGACACATGTTCTGGTACACCAAAACTGGTACCTGCCACCTTTAACCACTTATTAAAAAGAATATATTTCCATTTTTTTAGTCTGATTGAGTTCTGTAGTTATTTACCATTAAAAATACATGCAGTGCATATGGTTACGGCACAAAAAAAAACATTAATAGGCTTTGTAAGACCAAATTTATTAAAGCAATATTTGTGTCTTTTGCCGTCAAACTGTTTTGAATGCAAAAAAAATAGAAAAAAAGGATTGTGTTCATATTTAATAAATTTTATTGTGTGAGTTTTCTGGTACAGTGTATGAATTATCCAACAGTTCTCAAAAATACTTTAGTTTATTGTTTCATGCATGATATAAAACCACTTACAACTGATCTCAGGAAGTATTTTTTCATTGTTTGAGGTATTAAATAGTCTCAATTCTTGTCACTATCACTGTTCTGTTGACTGCAGTGCTGAAAAAGGCTTAGTTTTGAATAAACTAATATTTTTGGTACATATATTTCACTTTGTAGATCCATGCTGCACTAAACTAAGTGTACATTTATTCGCAATCAGTCTCATATCTCTTCTCCACATGAGCTAGCTGTGTAGGCCGCATGTTGAAATTTTAGAATTGCCACACTATTGCTGATGAGAGAGACCAGTTTTCTTATTTCTGTAGCCTGTCCTACAGTATCAACTATGTAGTAGACCTATAAAAAAAGAAGAATTCATATATTCATAGTTAAAAAATAAATAAATAAGAAAATGTCCATATCATGTGAAATAAACCATTATAACAGGTAATATACAGTATAATCAGCTTTTTCTAGTGCTATGCTGAGGCTTATTTTACTTTTTTCTCTCTTTGTAATTGCTATTTTTATATATTTTATGATATAAAATCATTGTTTGGTGAATATAATCATTTTAAAACTAATCAATTGAGTGTCATTGTTTGTATTGGTATACAGAGTTATCTGTCTTGATATTTGATAATTCTTAAAATCCATGTAAAAACTATTTTCTTCCAAACAGACCTATACATTGACTGTGAATAAAAGAAATGTAACACCACACACCTGTAGAACCCTTAAAAAGGCACATTTTGTGATATGTTAAAATCATGTTTAGGCTTAAGGTGGCAGAAACCAGTTATTTTACAATAAATCTTTAGAATTTCATGGATTTATGATTTTATTTTCTTGAAAATTCATTCAAGCTTATATACAAATAAAATGTATGGATTCAAGTAACTAAGATGTGTGCGTGCTTATGTGAATATATAGAAAACCTTTAAATTTGGGTGTCTGTCCAGCATGGATATTTTAAAATTTATAAATGCATTGCAAATAAGGCAAAAAATGTGATGCTCTGATACCAATCTAATCCTTACCTGCAGAATCCTGCTAAAAGCCGACAAGAATTTTAGGCAAAATTCAAGAGATAAATGATATTCAGTGAATTAGAGCCTTGTCCGAACCTATCCTTACCATCAAAATCTCAAGATATTTTTGTTTACATAAAACTGAAGTTTTTCCCCACTTTGATTGGATGCCGTCAAGTGAGGAGACCACAATTTTGACTTCTGATTGGACCCATTTGTGAAGGAAATCCCCAACCTGTGTATGCAACTACTTACTTGTGTAGTACAATAGCCTAGAATTTACATTCATTTATTTTTTCAGTCCACATGATGCAATTATATACCTCAATGCTTAACTATAACCAAATTTCTGCGTGGGACACATGTTCTGGTACACCAAAACTGGTAACTGCCACCTTAATGAACAATAAAGATAATTTAAAACAGTGTAAGGGAGGTAATCCAAATACAACGTTTTGGTTACTTCCCTTACACTGCTTTTAAATTATGTTTAAAGAAATGCATATTTATAAAGGAAGACCAGTAAAAATATCTGCAAATGTTGCATCTTTTTTATTTACAAAAAAATCCTTATGAAGGTCCAAAGGGTCCAAAATTAAACTTTGTTTGATTTTAGCAAAAATTGAATATATGAGGTTCTTTGATATGCTGAATCTAAACATGTATTTAGATTTTTGATTTTTGGCCCAGTTTTCAAGTTGGTCCAAATTGGGGTCCAAAATTAAACTTTGTTTGATTTCAACAAAAATTGAATATATGGGGTTCTTTGATATGCTGAATCTAACCATGTATTCAGATTTTTTATTTGTGGACCCCGTTATCAAATTGGTTCATATTGAGGTCAAAAGGGTCCAAAATTAAACTTTGTTTGATTTCATCTGAAATTGAATTATTGGGGTTCTTTGATATTCCAAATCTAACCGTGTATTTAGATTTTTAATTTTGGGTCCTGTTTTTTAAATTGGTCTACATTAAGGTCCAAAGGGTCCAAAATTAAACTTAGTTTGATTTTAGCAAAAATTGAATTCTTGGGGTTCTTTGATATGCTGAATCTAAACATGTGTTTAGATTTTTGATTATGGGCCCAGTTTTCAAGTTGGTGCAAGATAGGGTCCAGTATTTAAACTTTGTTTGATTTCAACAAAAATTGAATATATGGGGTTCTTTGATATGCTGAATCTCCCATGTATTTATATTTTTGATTATGGGCCCAGTTTTCAAGTTGGTCCAAATTGGGGTCCAAAATTAAACTTTGTTTGATTTCAACAAAAATTGAATATATGAGGTTCATTGATATGCTGAATCTAACCATGTATTTAGATTTTTTATTTGTAGACCCTGCTATCAAATTGGTTCATATTGAGGTTAAAAGGGTCCAAAATTAAACTTTGTTTGATTTCATCAGAAATTGAATTATTGGGGTTCTTTACTATGCCAAATCTAACCGTGTTTTTAGATTTTTAATTTGGGTCCCGTTTTTTAAATTGGTCTTCATTGAGGTCCAAAGGGTCCAAAATTAAACTTAGTTTGATTTTAACAAAAATTGAATTCTTGGGGTTCTTTGATATGCTGAATCTAAACATGTGTTTAGATTTTTGATTATGGGCCCAGTTTTCAAGTTGGTCCAAGTTGGGGTCCAAAATTAAACTTTTTTTGATTTCAACAAAAATTGAATATATGGGGTTCTTTGATATGCTGAATCTAACCATGAATTTAGATTTTTTATTTGTGGGCCCCGCTATCAAATTGGTTCATATTGAGGTCAAAAGGGTCCAAAATTAAACTTTGTTTGATTTCATCAAATATTGAATTATTGGGGTTCTTTGATATTCCAAATCTAACCGTGTCTTTAGATTTTTAATTTTAAGTCCCGTTTGTTAAATTGGTCTACATTAAGGTCCAAAGGGTCCAAAATTAAACTTAGTTTGATTTTAGCAAAAATTGAATTCTTAGGGTTCTTTGATATGCTGAATCTAAACATGTGTTTAGATTTTTGATTATGGGCCCAGTTTTCAAGTTTGTCCAAGTTGGGGTCCAAAATTAAACTTTGTTTGATTTTAACAAAAATTGAATATATGGGGTTCTTTGATATGCTGAATCTAACCATGTATTTTGATTTTGGACATTGGACCATAATAGGTAAATTAAAAAAAATTCAAGTTCTTAGACCACATTCTTTCTGTGTCAGAAACCTATGCTGTGTCAAATATTTAATAACAATCCAAATTCAGAGCTGTTTCAAGCTTGAATGTTGTGTCCATACTTGCCCCAACTGTTCAGGGTTCGACCTCTGCGGTCGTATCAAGCTGTGCCCCAGCGAAGCATTTTATTATGATTCATATAATCAATGTTAAATAAGTTTTCTTGGTTAGGTCTGTTTTTATGAGCAATTAGTGAAATAATTTTAAATGACCGCAAAATTTTAATACTATGACAATGTTGTCTTTGTGGTCCGAAGACATTTGGTTTCCAGACAATAACTTGAATATAAGTGTATGGATCTCTATGAAATTGTACCACAAGGTTCCATACCACAAAACAAAGGTTGGGATTGATTTTGGGGGTTGTCCTAACTGTTTAGGAATTAGGGGCCAAAAACAAGCATTTTTCTTGTTTCAGGACAATAACTTGTGTATAAGTGTATGGATCTCTATGAAATTGTACAACAAGGTTTCATACCTCAAAAGAAAGTTTGGGATTGAATTTAGGGTTATGGCCCTTATTGTTTAGGAATTAGGGGCCAAAAAACTAGGATTTTCATGTTTCAGGACAATAACTGGAGTATAATTATATATAAGTCTATGGATCTCTATACAATTGTACAACAAGTTTCCATACCAAAAAAGGAAGGTTGACGATTTATCTTGGTGTTTATGACCCCAACCGGAAAAAGATGCCAAAAACAATACTTTTCTAATTCTTGTATAAATTTCTTATTTCTTGACCAATTTCAATGGGGTTTAATTCAATGTCTTGTTTTCTTGGGGTTCTTTAATATGCTGAATCTAACTGTGTATTTAGATTTTGGATCCCGTTTTTAAATCGGTCCACTATGAGGTCCAGAGGGTCCAAAATTAAACTTAGCTTGATTTTAACAAAAATTGAATTCTTTGGGTTCTCTGGTGTGCGGAATATAACCTTGTAATTTAGATTTTTGATTTTGAGCCCGGTTTTTAGATTGGTCCACATTAAGGTCCAAAAGGGTCCAAAATTGAACATAATTTGATTTTAACAAAAATTGAATTCTTGGGGGTTCTTTGATATGCTGAATCTAACCATGTATTTAGATTTTGGATATTGGACCATAATAGGTAAATGTCCAATTTCAAATATTTAAGTTCTTTAATAGACAACATTCATTCTGTGTCAGAAACCTATTTTGTGTCAAATATTTTATCACAATCCAAATTCAGAATGGAACAATTAATAGAAATTGTAATTTGTTAGTAGATTCATAGAAAAAATAGATTCTAATTCTAATTTTAGAAATAATGTATAAATATAGTTTGAAATTTAATGTTCATTATTAGATACTTTGAAAAATGATAAGAGGTAAGTTTTATAGATTTGTTAAGGACATTGTATTAATCAATTAATGATGAATGATATTTTGGAAATTGTTTTTCCATTTTTTTTTGTAAATTTTTTTGAAGAACTTCATAGTAGGTTTATTTTGTTATTCTGTATAAATTTATTTTTAGAATGCTATATTTTTTGATGAAGCAAACTCCTTTAAAAACTTAGCTCGTATTGTCCATTAAAACATAAATTAATTAAATTCTTGGTGTACTTAGATATGCTGAATATAGACTGTGTATTTAGGTATTGGAATTTGGATATTGGACCATAATAGGTAAAAGTCATATTTCAAATTTTTCAGTTCTTTGACCACATTCCTTCTGTGTCAGAAACCTATGCTGTGTCAAATATTCAATCACAATCCAAATTCAGAGCTCTATCAAGCTTGAATGTAGTGTCCATACTTGCCCCAACTGTTCAGGGTTCAACCTCTGCAGTCCTAATAAGCTGCACCCCTCATATTGGTGTATGGAATTATTGTAAGCTTAAGGTGTTCATGTTGGTTACTGGCAGGTTTCATCTCACCTTGACCTATTTACATTAATGATTGATTATGTTAATTTTATGTGATATTTGTAGTAAAACCTTTATCTAAAAGATTTCAACATGAAATCAATCATGATCAGTATAGCAGGCAAGACATTTGAATATCAGCATGTCATTCTTGTTTTATAAAAATCTTCAGCAAAACAGTCATTGACAGTAGTGCTAATCCTGAATGAAGTTTGTGTAAACAAGATGTGATATGGTGATAGACAAATGAAATCTTGTTTACCAAAAAAGAATGGATTAATCAAACGTTACAATATTTGTTGAAATTGTAAACTAAGTGCTGAACATTTATCCTGCAAGTATCAATATATTAATGTACAGCAAACTAAACCGTTTGGAGTGTACTGAATAAGATTTTCACAGGGAAAACAGATTTATTTCTTAGTTATTATTGGCTTTGAATTATATTAGATTTCAGTAACTGCAAGTACTCTTCATGCTCTTAGTTAGTTTGGTATATTTGTACTTAGTGTCTTTTTTTTGCTCACCTTTCCAAAGGAAATGAGAGCTTTTGCCATCACTTGGCGTCCATTGTCGTCTGTCGTCCGTCCGGTGTAAACTAGTTCAAACATCTTCTCCTCTGAAACTACTGAACCAATTCCAACCAAACTTAAGTTAAATGATTCTTAGGGTATCTAGAATAAAGTTTGTGTTTTATTTTCTGTTTCTTCAAAAAACATGGCCGCCATGGCTAAAAATAGAACATAGGGGTAAAATGCAGTTTTTGGCTTATATCTCAAAAACTAAAGCATTTAGAGCAAATCTGACATGGGGTTAAAATGTTCATTATGTCAAGTTCTATCAGCCCATACATTTTCAGATGAATCTAACAACCCATTGTTGGGTTTCTGCCACTAAATTGGTAATTTTAAGGAAATTTTGCAGTTTTTGTCTCTCCTTCACGGAGTCAAAAAGCGAGACCTAGGTATCCTGTTTTCATCGTTGGCGGCGGCGGCGTCAACAATGTATTAGTTTGTGATTAGGTCTAGTTCATGGTGAACCACTAGTGGTAGGTCAATGATATTTGGTATGCAGTTGTATTAGCATTGGCACATCTCATTACCATGGAGATTATTTGGCCCCGCCCCATCAGTCAAGGTCTATTGACTTTGAAACTTTTCATAGTTTACATGTATTAGTTTGTGGTTAGGTCAATTTATGGGGAACCACTTGTGATAGGTCAGTGTTATTTGGTATGCAGTTGTATAAGCATTGGCATATCTCATTTCCATGGAGATTATTTGGCTCCGCCCCTTTAGTCATGGTCTATAGACT